TGCCTCCCGGGCGCCTTGAGGGGGATCCGCGGGTGCAGGCTCCCCCGCGTGCCCTGGGGGGTGGGGGGTCACTGCAGGGAAGCGCCCGCAGGAGCCGAGCCCGGCGGGGCCGGGCAGGGCAGGGGCGCAGGTAGGAGCCCGGCCTCTGCAGCAGTGGCCCTCCGGCTCGGCCGCGCCAGGGTCCCGCCGGGCTCCTTTGTTTCATTTCCCTCCTGGCTTTCGGGCACCGCGGGAGAGCTGCGGCCGCGCTGGGTCTCGGCTTTGTGGGCTGCTTTCCAGGCTCCCCCCAGCCCCACTCGTGCACGGTGGAGGCAAGGGCGTTTCCAGCCTCCCTGCCTTCGCCACCCGAGCTGCTTCTCCAGGGCAGCTCCAGGGCTCTGTAGTGTTTGCAGTCGTGGCTTGGTCTCAGTCCTTGGCGAAAGAGCCCCAGGGCTCCTTTATTTCCACGTTAGGGAATGATACCTATCTATGCTCCCCGGCGTTACAAACAACAAGGGTGTCCCCACGCTCCCGCCCCGGGGCCTTAAAAGAATTTCAGCTTCAGACCAGCTAGGATTCATCTGCCAATGTTGGGCTGCGTTCATCTGGCAAATGCAGCAAAAAGTGCCCCTTGATGTGGCCCAAATCAACTTCGTTTTATGTAGCAGAAACACCTTGAACTTGAAGCTTCTTCTCAGCGCTCTTCTGCTGGGGAAAAAAAAAACAGAGTCACTTCGAAAACTGAAAAGGAAGTTCAGTGAGAGTCTGCTCTTCCCATGCTTAAAATGGCTTTAGCAATCAAATATTTTATGTGGGTTCCTTATGTGTCCTGACAGCTTTAGAAGGGGTTTACAAAGTTTGACAGCTGTCTATCATTGGATTAAAATAAAAATAGGTTTACATAACTGGTTTGTTTTTTGGGGGGGGTTGTTTTTTCCCCCCCACTGAGGCTTCTGACTTATTTTGTTTAGTTCAAGTCCTCTATAGATGGAGGGATTTTCCTTATTATTTTTGTCCCCACATTGGCAAGGATGCTGGCTACTGCTACTGCTTGTTTTCAATTCCACCACTCTATAATATAAGTAGTTTGGATGATTAACAGCTTGAGGGTTAATTATATTTTCTCACTGACTACATGGGATTATTACATGTTCATTGGTTCTACACAGTTTAGCTACTATTCATCTAACTGGTTCCCATTTCACACCAGATATATGGTTCACCTTGCTAAAGGTGAACAGTGCAAATCTGCTAGAAAAGGAATAATATATTGGGCTCGGCTAAGCGTTCACATTTCATTTGTGGGATCATAATATCTGGAGAGGCTGCTGTAAATTATAACAGCAAAAATCATTCCCTTCTTTTTCTCTTGATTAAATTAGGCATTAAGCAGTCATTTGGAAAAAAATAAAAGGTATTTAAATTCAGGTTAGAGCATTTTTCTTATTAAATAAAACCAAATTTATAAGGAAAATTGTCCCAGCCTTATTTTTCATCAGCACCCCTTTTCTAGTCAGAATAGAAGTCACCTCTTTGTCATGCAGTTGCATAGTCTCCCCAGGCAGTTCTTGCTCATGTAGAGTCTTCCCTTGGTTTCAATAGGAATATTCTCAGATTACTGCAGGTTTGGGCCTAAAACGTGATTGGGAAAGGATTTCGCAAACCAGGGGGCCTGATTCGGATGTCACTTAGATTTGGATGGGTTCCATTTGTAGTCTGAGGAATTACAGCAGCATGAAAATGCTGTGCAAACAGAATCAGGCCTCAGCTTTGTTGATCCTTCCTTTTTCATCAGCAAGCAGTAATCATCAGTCTGAAAATGTTTAAATTGTTCTTGAGGGGCGAAGGAGTTTATTGGTGAAAGAGGGTTCTGTGGCTGAGCAGGGTTGCAGTGGAAAAGTTCCTTCCAAATATCACAAAGATGAATTTTTCCCCCCGCTTGTGTTTTTTTTTTCCCATGTGTTTCAGGACATGGAGGAGTGAATCAGTTAGGGGGTGTTTTTGTGAATGGTCGTCCACTTCCTGACGTTGTGCGCCAGAGGATCGTGGAACTTGCCCATCAAGGTGTCAGACCGTGTGACATTTCGAGGCAACTACGGGTCAGCCATGGTTGTGTCAGCAAAATTCTTGGCAGGTAAAGGGAGAACAACAAATCATTTTGTGTCTGTAAAGAAAAATATCAAGCACTGTCCCTTAATCAAAGTCTATAAAATATGAGAGCAATCAAATGAAGATGGGAGAATTTTTATCAAATGGCTCAGAATGACAAGAGTTTACTTAGAACTGGCTGGTTGCAATTTTACATGTCTACTGTGGGAAACACAAGTGGCTATTTATGTACTTAGCTCACTCAAAATTTCTTGGGAGTAATTCTAAAGAAGTGAAGTGGAGGATATCACATGTGGTATGTATCCTGCACCTGCCTGTATTAAACAAATAGATAAATCTGTGGATCATTTGCAGTAAAATGAAAAACCCAGAAGTTATGAATCATTCAATGAAACTACTTCTTTTGTTTTTTAAGGAATATTTATTCTTGCATATAATATTACTACCTAAATGGCCAAGGACAGTTGTCAGTCGACATGTTCATTTACATTTTCTCTTTCTGAATTTGGTCCCAGTAATTTCATTTGAAGGCTTGTTTTATTTTTGTAATAAAATGTATTCCTGATTGGAGCATGGACTACACTAAATAGTTTTTCCCTCTCTTAATTCTTATACTCTGAAAGGTACCAGTTATTCAGATGGATGATGCTCAAAAGCAGCATAGCAATATAATAAATTAAAAAATTTCTGTCCCTTTAGAATATTGTTATTAACTTGATTTAATTTTGAGAAAAACATCATACCTTTTTTAATAGCTTGTAAACAAGTATGAATTTTTTTTGTAATTATGATTGATTTTAAATGCTCCAGAGTGGTAGATATGTTATACACTTTGAACTTCCAGGCTGGCAAATTCATTTTTAATTGCCTTCTATTTTCTTTTCTTTATATCTTAGAAAAATTTTTAAAGTGTTTACCAAGAATTAACAATTACATTAATTGTTTTCATCCCACTGGTATTAGCCGTATTTTGATGTTCACTTCCCCCCGCCAGTTTTAACTGAGCTTTTTTTATTGGTCATACAGAGAGAGGAAACATTTATCTGGCAGGGCACAGAGAATCTCACCCTAAATTAATCGTAGTAGCAATCTCATAGTGACAAACATAGTAGTCAGAGAGAAAAAAAATTGGCAAAATTATACATCTTCTCAAAAAATTCAGCCATCTTTCCCTTTTTTCATGAAACCCCATTCTTTATGGTCATCTATATTTGAATTCTTCTACACAGTTCTATTCAGTGGACTGCTAGAAAGACTGAGGAGACAGTCTGAAGGTACATGGAAGATCTCTGAATACTAGCAGGTCTGCTTCTTCTCCCACAAGCATTAATTTTATATACATGTAGATCCAATAGAAATTCAGTGAAGAGATTCCTGAATTTACATGGGTATGTATGTGGAAAGACACTAACTACTTTTTTTCTTAGAGAGAAAGAGAGCGAGCAAGCTTTTTCATGTATTTTATTTTCTGCCTATCAAAGGCTACTTCATTCTGTTTGAGCTTTGAATCTGCTCTGAGTGCAGGTCCTTAAACCTAGTGTGAATGGAAATAGTCCTAACTGTGGTACCTCAGCATTCTGGCATCTTTTACTCACAATTTCTATTAGTACCAGTGTAAAGCTAATAAACAGGCAACTCATTTACCTACTAGTGAAATGTCCAGCAGTTTTAGTGTTTCAGATTTGAATAGATTTGTCATTAGATATATTTGCATTATGGAGCTAAGAGTGCAGCTCTGGAGCTTTGTTATTTAAGTTGTCAACAATAAATTGGAATTTCATAGCTCATTATTTTCATAACTAATAATTACAGTGGGTAAAATGTCACTGTAATTGGAGCTGCGTGTGGGAAAAAAATGAACACACGTTAAATCATTTCATTTTGAATTTTGGAATTGAAATTGATGAATCCATGGGCTTTTTTTATAGAACCTTAGTAAAAATAAAGACCATTGGAAGGGATGAATATAAGCATTTGGAGTAAAAACCTGGACTGTTGCAGAACAAAAACAAACCTTTGCGGATAGCTCACAAAGCCTTGCAACAGAGATGCTCGCCCTTCACCCATATGAGGACCGCACCGGCAGTTTTTCAGGGAGCTCAAGGACTATCTCTAATTTGCATAAAATCAAACAGATTGCGGCCACACTCATCTTTAACATGGAGTTGAGGCCAGAATGCTCAGATCAAGAGGGAGCATTGCATTCTGGGACCTGTAGTCTCCATGGACCTCATCCCAGGTCAAACATAGTGGCACTCAGGTGTGGAGGGCACACAGTTGAATTGTGCTAGCTTGCAGTTTGGATGGTGGCTTTACAGGGAAATGAAGATTAAATTACTATGATGGTGATTCTGTTAGGTCCTCATCTTGCACCCTTCAAAATCAATGGGAATCTTGCTGTTGATTTCTGTTGATTTCAAATCAGGCACATAGGCAGACTTTTAAAGGCAGTTACATGATACACTGCTCACCATTGCAATATGCAGTGGACTCATTTGACTGTGAATCTTGTAAATAAATGCCTAAGTACTTTTTGAAAATATGCTGAAGTCAGATAGGCCTTGCAATGTGGAGTGGAGCAACATCTAAATGTTTTTTAAATTTGAGGCCTTAACCTTCAAGCCTAAGTCCTCCAAAAGGCAGTGTCATTAACCACCACCAGCAGCTTTGGTAATACAGGGTTATGGTAGTCTCTGCAGTCCAAAATGCATCACCAAAGTGATTTGTCAGTGGCATATTTTCCTGCTGCGTAGATTTTCCAGAGCTGGAAAGAACAATAAAAAAAGATCAACAACCAGCAATCAAAACACATACACACAAACACACACAAACATGGGGAGGGGAGCAAGGGGGCCATAGGTGGACAAAGAAGTACCAGTAACGTTGATTTCTGATTTGCCCCATGAAAACTGTGAACAGTTACCTGTACTGCACCAAGTATATCAGAGCCTGGTTCTGTAGCATTTATTCACGAGGGATCACACAGGAGAGGTTACAGGGTCAGGGTGAATTGTAATTTTTTCATAAGCATGGTTTTGTTAGGTTTGTTGTACAATTGTGTCCTTGCCATTAGTTTCTTATGCACTCAAGAAAATGGTCCAGAAAAGGAGCAAAGTTTTACTTCCTACTCATAGATTCATTAGGCTTAGCCCAGGGTAAGCAAAAGGGTTAACCCACTGCAGATGCTTATCACCTTCCATTACTAGTATTTCTCCAGTGAGTCCATAGAGACAGAAGTGGAACAGACCATTTGTTCCAAGATCTTGTGAAAACAGGCACAAACATCATCATGTCACTCCCAGGAAAGGGATTTTAGGAGAGCAAAGCACTGCAGGAAGATAAAAATCCTGTAACAGTTGAAATGTGATGAATGTGGCTGTCCTGGGGATGAAGCCTGACTTTGGTGTCCATGTCCAGCATACCCTAGAGAAGTTTGTGGGGATGGGTTTTTTGTTTCTTGCATGCAGCATGGAGGCCAAATTGGTGCCGTGAAGACACATTCATTGCACAGGTTTATGTAGTTAGCTGGTGGTTTCTTATAAAGTGATAGAGGTTTATCATGGTAAGCACACAGATTTAGGTTAGGAGAGGTAATGCAGCTGTCAGGATCTCTGTTCCAAATGTAGGTGAAATCAGCAGGCATGCTGGTTGTAGAACTTTGCAAGAGGAGGTCTGATGGGGAAGCAAGTACTAGCTCCTTTTGTGGTTAATGCAGAGTTTATGTTTATCTCTTAGAAAATTTACCATGTGCACGGCACCACTGAACAAACAGGGCTATGCCATAATTCATACAACGCCCTTGATGCTTGGTACTCACAGAGGTTTTGGGGAAGATCTTTTGCTGAATTTCCTCCCTGCCCTTGATGGACAGGACAGCACAGCTGTTTTTAGCAATATTTTCAAGCTTTTGTTTATTAAAAAATATTTTAAAAAAAGGTTAAGCCAGACCTTCAGCTGGAATGGATTCTTTTCTCTCCATTGAAGGCAGTTTGAGTTACACTAGTGGAAAAGCCGCTAAACAGCCCAAGCCTACCACTCTTGGTGATGAATTTTTTAATCACATGAGTAATCACACACACTGACATCAATACAGCTACTACTGTGAGTAAGGACTGTGCATGTGTAAAAGGGTTATGGTATCAGGTTGTATCATTTAGAGTGAGTTCCCCCACAGTGTCCTCTTTTCCTGAGAAGAGCCTTACATGAAAATATTTGTTTCCCATGAAAAATTGGCAATTGAAACCATAACTCCCATAAAACAGAATCCCACAAAATGTCACACTGGCATATCTACTTGGAATGTGCTCTGCAAATACTTTTCATGGTAGTAACGTACCTGGCCTTCATTTGGCTGTAAAAAGATGCCAAGCCATTTACATTAATGAAGGTGAATTTCCCTAGAAACAGTAATTTACTACAAAAGATTTCACTGCAAAAACAGTCTTCAGTGTGATTTGTTTCTATTATTGCCACTGTGTCTGATTAATAACACGTATTTCCAGTTAATTTCAGGTCCCAGCATGCCCTTTAATCTTGCATTGTTTCTATTGCCTTGCTATTATGGGAAAAATATATATTCTATACTGGGGCCCAATTCCAATTACTATAAGTTAATCTGTTAGGTGATAAAGTGCTACACAGCCAGGATGTGTGAGTAAAAATGCAGATTTATCTCAGAATTTACTGGAGATCTATTACACTACAGTTGGGCATTCTCTAAATCTCATAGCTTGTTTCTTGCCAGTTCTTGATAACTTATGCTCTGCTTTGGATTCTGTGCCAGGTACTATGAAACTGGGAGTATTAAGCCTGGAGTGATTGGAGGATCAAAACCAAAGGTCGCCACACCCAAAGTTGTCGAAAAAATCGCAGAGTATAAACGCCAAAATCCCACCATGTTTGCCTGGGAGATCAGGGATAGACTTCTAGCCGAGCGAGTGTGTGACAACGACACCGTGCCCAGCGTCAGTTCGATTAACAGGTAGAGATTTGGACAGCACCAGAAAGGTGCTGTCGTAGTTCAACTGTATGCCATCTCCTTCTCGGTACATGAAACTGTTTTCTTATGGTCCTTTTCAAGCCACCTAGTATGTGGATGGATGACTTTGGTGACCAGGAAAGCCAGAGGCTGAGTACAGCTGTGAGCACAGGGTACGTTGTGAGCAGTTGCTATCACCAAGCGGGTTTCACCAGGCAGCTTTCTTCCCCACTCCTCCACTTCAGCTTGGTTGCTGTTCAAGTCCCATGCTTGTTTGAACCGAGAAAGTTTAAAGTGTTGGGTTTGGCTTTTGCAAGGATTTTATGAAATGAACATCCCTTGGGGTTAAAGCAGAGGCTACCAGTGCTTTAGGCTCCTGTTGATCTAAAGAGAGGTTTGAACCAGATTCGTAAGGGTCAACGATGGAAATGAGTATGGCCTGGTGGATAGAGGAGGGGCCTTGAGGCGTTGTTTTGGGTTCCTGTCCTAGCTCTGTCCCTGGCTCCGTGACACCAAGTCCAGATTCATAAAAATGGCTCATGAGTCAGGCTGGTGGGACCTGATTTTGTAATATTTGTAAGCCTCAGTTGCCCACCTGTAAAATATGTATAGTAAAAGTCCCCACCCAGAGGGATATTTTGAGCCTGAGTTAATTTTGTAAAGTGTTTGAGGAAATTCATTTGCTGGGTGCTGCTCTAGGGCCTGATCCTTTGCTACAGAAGTCTTATTATTGATTTTCCAAGGCATAAGATCGGGCCCTGTGAGATGCACAACATTATGTTATTTTTTTAGTTCACCTCTGAATTCCATCTTAGCCAAGTTATTTAAAGAACCAACATTCAGTCCCTTGATGGATGAGATATAAGTTCATACCAGAGATAAAAACATGTCACAACAGCTTTGGTAAACACCTAATGAAATGTTATATTATGTCTCCAAGTCTCAAAAACCAGTAACAAGTATTTAACATAATTGATGCAAAGCCATTAGACATTCTCTTGTATGCTACTTGGTGCAGAACATCCCTCCATTTTCTGTCAGCAGTATTCTGTACAGAGACCTTTTCAGAGACTAGAGTATGAGGTATCACAGTAAAATCCTTTTACATTAAAAAATGGCTACAAAGGCTGTGTGGTGCCACAAGCCCTTTCTTTGTATGGTTTTAAAATTCAAGATGTTTTTCCTGCAATTTCATCCAAATCCTCTGAACATAGCTAACTGAGCTGCACAGAAGGTCATGTAGTGAATAGGTGAAGTATTACTTTCTGCGTGCTTTGTGATCCCCACCAGCATGTGCTTGTGGAATTGCTATTTTAATATCGGTAATACTTTACATGGTTTTTAGAAATACCTGGTAGCCTTACTTTGCCTAACTCAATGTTATGTTACAGCGTCACCTGGATAAATGCAAAGACAGTGCAGGCCATTCAGAATGTTTAGCACTCTCCACAGTTTCCTAATTGGAACAAAATTCCAGCATTATTCAATAGCATTTACAGAGTTGCAGTCTTTGGCAAAAAAACTAGAAGAGATTTGTTTGAGAAGCACAGTGGAAACAGGGGCCAGATTCTGTTGTACCCATTGGGCATCTAAATGGACTCAGTGCCTAAGTTTGATTTGATTCTACCCAGTTCAAGTCTTGAAAATTCATTAATGCACCTACTTTTGTGACACACTGGGCACGTCTACATATGTGCTTTAATGAGCAGTAGCCTATTTTGCTGTGCATTAAAGTGTCATGTAAAAAACTGCAGTTACGCTAACATGCAGTAAAATAGGCTACTGTGCATTAAGTATCACTTAAAAATCATGTGCATTCATTACTGCACATTAAGGCAGCCTGATCTGCATTTCTTTAGTGCCTCACTTTGGAGGTACTAAATTTAATGCGCATTAGAAAAAGCACCTTAACACACATGTAAATGGACTCATTGTCATCTTACACTTATGACTGAGTCACAAAAACAGTGAGAAAGAGGAGGAGCTTTTGTATTAACTATTTTTTAGGGACTCAGGCAGGGTAAAATAGAATCAGACTTAGTCCATTTATGTACCTTAATAGGTGGAATAGAAGCTGGCCCTAGGAGTTGAAAGAAAAACTTAATATTTATTGTTCTCGAAAAACTAAGGGTCAAACTCCATTCCCAGTGATATCAATGTAAGTTTTGCCATTATCTTCAATAGGTAGCACTACTGCTATTACCTTTATTATTAGCACTACTACTATTGCTTTTATTATTATGCTGAGGGCCCCACTTTGCCAAGCTATAGCCAAATGTCCAACAGGCAGTCCCTGCTATAAAGAGTTTAAATCTAACTGGGTGCATTAGTGAGATGCTACATCCCTGTAGCAACAAGCTATGACAATGTATCTTGTCGATAAAGAGATGTAGCATCAGTGGGCACTAACTGTGATGCCACCACTGCTGCGCAGTAGGGTCAAAAACAACGCATGCACCTCCAGCATTGCACAGTACCAACTGCGCAGTCAGCGGCACGTGTAGATGCACCTACTATGTCCTGCACATGTTTTAGTCCAGTTTATATATTCCTCTTCTGTCGCTCTCTCTTCAATCCCTCAATATTTCCCTGGATAATAATATTGTCGAAAAATAGCCAGTCCATTAAAAAAAATCTGAAAATTGTAAAGTAACATCTTTTCTTACTAGAAATCTCATTCTTTTCTCCTGATTTGCAGCTCTAGCAAAGATTCTTCTGTTATTTGTTACTTCGAAATGTATGTAATCTGTTTGAATCAGTTTGCTTTATATGAAGAATCAGATCTGTCACCTTATGACCACATTTTGCATTTCAGGACTCATGCCCACATGTAAGACCCCCATATAGGGACAAACTTAGAATTTATTCCATGTACTTTTGGCCCTAGTCCTGCAGGTCATCATTACTCAGAAATCCACTCAGTAGGACTTTTTTAATAAAATAAAAGTTAACCAAGTGCTTAAATACTCTGGTGTATTGGGGCAATAGTGTCTAATCCTGAACTCTTGCTCATAAGAAGCTGTCCTTCAGAAGTCGCCGGTATGGCTGGAGGAATTAAGGATGATTCTGAGTCAGGCCCTCTACAAGCAGACCGTTCAGTCAGAGGAAGGTTTGAGTGCCCCAAGAAAGGACTTTTTAGGTTGGAGATCTGGAATTCCATTGCATGTGACATGTTTTACAGTAGTTACCAACCTGAGGTCTGGTACAGGAAAGGAGGGGATGGTACACATACAAAGAATTTTTCTATATTTCCAGTTTCACCATCTTTTTTACCTTTAAGTATTATTCTTGAGACTTTTTTCCCTATAGCCCTTGGTAAGGGATGATTCCTATTTTGCTAGAAAGCCAAACCATAAAAGCAAATGATTAAACTCACCAAGTGGATAAAGCACTATAACACAGGAGCAGAGTAGGGTAGGAGTGTTCAGTACAGTGCCCAGTACCTGAGCTAGACTCCTGTTTGGGGTGACTTCCCTGCTGATTTAATGATGCTCAGGAATCTCTCTGCTGTACCACAGTATACAAATACCCAGCACACACTGCCCCATCCTATGTAATATGATCCAGATGCATGTGCACACTATGTGTCTGTTATACTATATGTAACAATTTCAAAAGTCTCTAAGTGACTTAAGAGCCTAGTCCCATTTTTACAAGTGACTTTGGCACCGACGTTAGATTTTTAAGTTGTTCAGGCACCTAAAGACAAAGAAAGGTGCCTCTTGAGAATATCAAAGAAACCTAAGTCCATCTCCTCAGGGGTATTTAAATATTTAATGCCTATTGATTTTCCCAATGGTAAGGGTCCTGGGTGCCTTGGAAAAGAAACTAGCTGCCTTTTTACATCTGTGGGCAACTAAATACTTTACAAATTTGGTCTTTAGGAGCTGGAATCCCACTGACTGGGGGCAATGATGCTTGGGCTCCCAAACATTGAAATCACTTTTTAATGAGGGAGTTAGGTTTATGGATGCTTTAAAAATGTTTCCCATTCACTGTTGGCATTGGACCCTGTCAGAAGCTGCCCCATAGGGTCTGGCATGGTGTGAGGTAACTCTGGACTACCCAGTACACTACAGTGACTACCCAGCTTGTCTTTGGAGCAAGTGGGGGAGAGTCGTGACACACCACATCTTCCTGCCTCATGCAGAGGAGGCTGGGGACAGAGGAACAAGCCCAGTCCAGCTTCTGTGGCAGCTACTACTCTGAGGAGAGCTGACTGAGAGTCCATCCCATACAGGTAGCAGCCTTAGGGTGGCAGACTTGAGCATAGTCTCCTTGAATATTAATATAGCATTACTATTAATTAATGATATTAATGAATATTAATTATACCATACTCCTTCTAAATAGAATCAAGTCCATATGATTACGGCTTAATTAATCATGATTATTAGCTCCATTCAAATAGGCGGAAAACATCCCCACTGTTTCAAGTGCTTGGGTGCCCTGTTCCTCCTGAAATGAAGATATTTATGTACAAGAAGCTCTAGAATGCTCATTTTGACAACTGGAGCACCTCAAATAAAGTTTTTCCCAGCTTCAGTCCTATATGTCTGGGTCCTATTTCAGGGACTTAAACATACTTGGCACACACATCAGTGACAAAGCTCTTGGTGTAGAACTGGGCTACCACTCAAGTAGTTCCTGCCTTTTAGTTCTAAGACCCAGAGCCACGGCTTTGTTCAGAAGCCCAAGTCCAAGGGCAAGATGGGAGAGACAGACAGAAAGTCAGGCTCTATCTCAGGAATTAGTTGGTGACACCATCTGTTTTCACCTAGCAGGCAAATGCATGGAAGCAGTATAGTTATGTGGATAACCTGCAGGTGGGGGCTCTGGAGATGTGGATTCTAGCCTTGGTTTTGCCACTGGCTGGTGTGAGTGACCTTGGGCAAAGTGCTTCCCCACCCCATAAGGTAGTTGATGATGCTGACTGCCTTGGTGAAATGCTTGGGGACCTATAGGTGAAAAGCAGTATAAAAGAACGAGGGCCCTTTTTGTGTTTACTGCTGAATTTTGGTAAGTAATAGAAAGACTCTAGCAGGAACAGAAAAAAAATTAGCACAGAGTTGATTTGACATAAAAGCAGGGTTGAGTGAAAGATAAACAGTTGACTGGGAATAATTTTTAGGCTTCTTTTTCCTCAAACAAATGCAGAACCACACTATAACTTTACACAGTTTTTTCAGGAATAAAGTTTTGGCATTTTTTTGTAAACATCTCAATGTGCAAAAAAAAAAAAGGTGGGGGGTATAGGAAGGCACTGGAAATCTAGCTTGTTAAATAGCCACAGGGGAAATCACTACCCCAGCATTCTGTCAGAACTGGACATAAACCATACTCACATACTATGAGAAGCATGTCAGTGAACTATATACTGTTTTAGTAAAGACCACTCAACAGTCAGTATTAAGGGCTCACTCTTCTTTCCATTGACGATAATGGCAAACTATGCATTTACACCACTGGGGGAAGTTTCAAGCCATGTATTCTCCCATTAACCATACATTGTCACTGGAGTTTTTGACACAACATTCCCGTTGCCTTTCTTGATAATCCCCTCCAGTAAGACAGCACTCACACTTTCTTTTATAGTTCTTCATCTTTCTACATCACATGTAGGGCTGGAAAAGATTCTGCTTTGGTGCAATCTGGGAGTAACTCTTTTTACATAGGGAATTACTCCTGCTGTTCACTCAGGAAAAGGAGAGCAGAAGCTGGTCTGTAGTCCCCACTTATGCCAATGTCATCACTGCATGTTGACGATTTGCACTGGTCCAAGGATTTTTGGGTTGAATGCCACGTCATTTGGTGTACAGTTTTCAAAAGTGCCTGAGGTCCAGATCCTCAAAGCTATTTAGGTGCATAAAGTCCTGTTTCAATGGGAGTTAGGTTATCTGAATAAGAGATGCCTAAATGCCTATGTGGGCCTAAGCGATTTAGAAAAGCTCAATATTATAAAGTGACCCAGGGCCAGAATTTTTAAGGCATTTAGCTGCTAAAGTGGCAGGTAGACAGCAGGATTGTCAAAAGTGCTTACCTGCCTGACTTCCACTGATTTCACATGGAATCAATGGGAATTAGGCATCTAAAGGCCTTAGCAAATCTGGGCTTTTAGCACTTCTGAAAATTTACCCACAGATTTACCTGCCCACCTGCCCTTCTTTTTCTCTGGTTTGATGTACTAATCCAAGGAAATGGTGTTTTATTTCTGAGCAAAGTATCCCGAATTGACAGAATAATGTCTGATGCCCTGTCCCCATGCAATGCTGTTATTTACCTACAGTTTCTACAGTGTGCATGCTTAGCAGTAAGTAGCCATTTGTTTCTTTATAACTGCATGCAGGATCATACGGACCAAGGTACAGCAGCCGCCTAACCAGCAAGTACCAGCCTCTAGTCACAGCATAGGTAAGGAAAACTTTTTCTATACTGAAAATAACATAATAGCATATGAATATTCTAAAGAACTTTTAATCATTCTTATGGACAGATAATTCTGCATAAAACACTTCAGCACACGTACTAATGCGCCTTCTTTGTCATTCTCCAAGGGCTGAACATGGTAAATGAATTTTATAAATACTGCTAAAAGGTTTTGAATTTTACTGATTATTATGATAAATAGCTTTCACCATGAGACAGAAAATTGAAATCTAAACCAAAAACCCCCACTAATGGGGGTCTATAGAATGTCAGATAATTAAAGTAATAAATCAAGAAAGGGATACTTATTCATAACATTTTCTGCATCATTAGTCAGTAAGTAGTTTTGAATGTGTTTTTTCTTTTATCAACCATCCCTTCCATAATCCTTTGTGGACCTGCAGTCTTGAGTGAAGAGGTAGCAAAACTTTCCAAACTTTCTCTGCTTATTCTTCCCTGCTCGTCCCCAGTTCAGATGCAGACCATCAGTATTCAGCTAAGAGTTATTTGCCCTGCTTGGGTTTTGATAGAACACACATCTGGAGAGAGTCACCCGATCAGCATACATATTAATTTTGTCTATGAAGTTTCAGTTCACTTTCTCTTCAGTGAAGATGTGATACCTCTCTAAATGCTGTCCTAGACAGCTGCTTGTATGCTGCTTGTGCTTTCTTTATACACATTTTATCCAAATGGTGAGGTGGAACATTCCTCAAATAAAATATTTTTTTTGCAAGCACAGTTTATGGAAGGCAGAGCTGGACATTGTTTACTCCACTTGAACCAGAAGTTTGGTTCTCCTGTCCATTCATTTCAGGAGGTGAAATTTGTATTGGATTTCTTGGTAGACAGGTGTTCCATGGCAGTTTCCTCAATTGAAAGCCAGGGAAGATGGTTGGGTTGTGAAGGCATGAGAGCAGTGTCCAGGAGGTGTGAATTCTGTCCCTAGCTTTTTCCAGAAGAGTTTGGGAATTTTACTAGGTCATTATTGAAACACCCCTATTTATGGCCCCTTCTTCCACAAATATTCACTGGGAGGTAAGGTACTACTTAGTGTGAGTGAAGATGACAGAATTGGGCCATTAATTAGTTCATGCAGTAATGACCTTCTCTGTGAAATGGGGATAATACATATTCATTTGAGGAGGTTGGGAAACTGAACTGAATCCTTGGGAACTGCTTTGAGATAGCAAATGCCCAGTCTGATTCTTACAGCTGTATGAACCAAGCCAAAACCAATTATCCTCTGTCTGAATGTCTTGAAACTTTTTACCTAGAAATGCCTATGAGATCCTCAGCAAGTAGTCTGAATGATAGTTTAAGGACAGATTCTTCTGCCATTAAAATCAATGGTGCAACTCCCACTGCCTTCAGAGGACTTAGTATTTATTTATGCATGGGGAAATCCTAACTGCAATTTGCTCTGCCCATGACTGAATCCAAATGGCTCATCTTGATGCTACTGCTGTAGCATATAAGTGGGCTGCTGATGCTGGACTCTCTTTGCCATAATGATGCAAGCGTTAGTTGCTATGGAATAGCAATGTGTTAGCCCATCCCTTTCCCCATCCACTGCCACATTACTCTGGGCTCTTGGCCTGATGTTGCAGAGGATATGTGTTTGCTCAGATCATCCCTGACCATGGAGTGACTGGTAGTCAGTTGTAGAGAACCTTAGAGTGCACATGGGCACAGTAACAATAACAATGACAGTCCTGGCTGGCAGCTCTAAACTTACATAACTAAATAATACTCTCCTCCCCTCCAAGATAGCACCAGTGTTGCAGTTGTCTTGCAGTTTCAGTTCTAACCAAGGAAAACTGCTTTCACTCACATCCCATACAGCTTCTGGGTGTGCCAGCCCTACCTGGGCTATGCTGTTTGCTTCTTCCCCTTCTGGCTTGTGGCGTGTAGCAGGTCTCCTTGTTATCCTACCTCTAGGTGGTCTTTCAGTCACTGGAGACCTACAGCTTGGGTGCAACTTGTTTCTGCCTACAAAATCCAGATAGTACATTGACTAGTTCTCTTCACACTCCTGTGCAGTATGTAAATATGGCTGAAAAGGCTGTGGCAGATAGATTAAGTGATGAACCCAAGATTACAGATGGAGTTTGTATTGGAACATGAATTAGAATTCCTGGCTCTGTCACTAACTCCCTCTGTATCCTTGGTCAAGTCACTTAACTCTGATGTCTCAGTTTCCTGAGGAGGTATACTAATATTTATTTTTCTGCTTCATAGGAGTTGTTTTATGAGCTAATTTATTTAGACTTGATGATGTGAAGTGCCTTATGCAAGAGCTAAACATTAGATCATATTCAGGGCAAACCCAATTTACCTCTTAAAGCTGAAAACTGATAATTAAACACCTAGACAGTATAGTTTTGTCTTGAGTAATCATCCTCAAAAGGTTTCTGTGGCAGGAAGGTAGACTTGTACTTTCATCATATTTAACATTCTATATCATGTTGGGGAATGACACTTCTTTCTTTGCTGTAGGCATTGAAGGATCAGGATGTTTAATACCAAAGATACTAGGATGGTTGGGTTGCCAACACTGCCTTTCCACAGCAGCTTTGGGCTGTGACTTAAGGTTAACTCCATATTGCATTAATTTTTAAATTACTGGTAATGGCTTCCAACATGGTGTTATATTTAATTTCACCCAGAATGAGCATACTTTAAAAAGATAAACTCTGGACAAAGCATAGTGTGCACCCTTGTGAGTTGCACGTAAAAACTGTTTGAATGATGTCATAACCAGGCTTCCAAAGCAGCAGCGTGCAGTCAGGATGAACTCAGTGCTGCTTCTGTTTTTATTATTATTGTTGTGCCTAGGAGCCCTAGTCCTGGACCAGCTAGGCACTGTACAAAAACTGAACAAAAAATAGTTCCTGTCCCAAAGCGCTGATAATCTAAGTGTTAGGCAAAGACAATGGAAGGAAGAGTATGAGGAAGCAGTGAGACAATATTGGTTGCCATGGTGGACAAAGGGGTCAGCCTGACCACTGTTGCCAGTTCTCATGATTTTATCATGACTCTTATCTCATTTGGTCTCTTTACCTGTTTTGTTTTGTTTTAAAACGTTTTCTTAAAGCCCCAGATGATTACTGAATAAATTACTGAATAAAATATAGTGCTTGTATACATGTTGGACACCCTAAGAAATGCATTTTAGAAGCCTCTTCTCTTCTAAATAAACCCTTATTTGGGTGGTTAAATAATATTTTTTCTCTCCTCCAGACAAATGGCCTAACCCAATATTCTCCCATATTTAAAACAGGATATAAAATTTAAGAATTAAAGATGCCACCATGTAGACAGATATACAGGCAGTGAGATTTTCTTAAACTTCCCCTTTTTGAAATTAATAAAGCACTCCTTTATTTTAGAAAAGCAGTTCTGAACCTTTTTAGATGTTAGGTACCCCACCCTAGACTCAAAGTACCCATCATTAGACTTGAGGCACCTCTCTATAACTTTTGTGAATTGAGTGACACCCAAAAACGAATGTATATATTACAGTGCTTAGCTCCTTGCAGAGAGGCGGGAAAGTGGGGTTGGGAGATTGGCCAGGCAGAGACAAGCCTGAGCCTGCACTTATCTATTTATCTCCTCACACCTTGCTTATCTTTTCACACCTTGGGACACTTTTCAAAGGATCTCACTGCACCCCAAGGTGCTACAACACTCAGGTTGAGAATCACTGTCTAGGAAACTATTCATCTGAAATACAAAACCACAAACAATGAGAGGCCATTATGAGACTGTGATTCACTCTAATGAGATCTGCAGTTATCATGGGGAGGTAGTGTCAGACCCCATATTCAGGTAGGATATGCTCTTTTGGGAAGAATAAGATAGATGATCTAAATCACTATTTGTGGTTGTGATAGGGGGCCTTCCTGGGGCTAGATCTTGTGATAGCCTGCCCACCTGCCTAGGGCAGTCTGCCCTGTCTTGCCTGCCATGACTTGAACGTTAGCATAATATATTAAGTGGGTGGCTGCCCATTCACTACCCCAATGTCAGGGGGTGCTATTCACAGCTCCATACCTTTCCTACATCGTGGCCCATGCCTTTCAGATGATATCCAGATTATTGTTGCTCCCCGGCTTCAGGCTGGGACAGACTCAGTACACTGCTGGACCTCTTTCACACTCAAACTTACTCCTCCCCACTCTCACAGGGGCCTCTTGCACTCCACCCTTCATTGGGCCACTCTTTACTGTCCTGCTCTGTTGAGCATCCCCACTCAGCCATCAGGCTCTGCTACTCTCACTCTAGCTCGCCACATGCAACAACTTCAGTTTGCTTGAGCTCCTCTACTCTATGTGGCCTTTCCTTGTGCCAAACACAGGGCTGACTCTACCCCTAGCCCCACGCTGGGCAAACTGATCCTCATCTCACTGCTGGGTCTGGCCCATGTACTGCCTTTCAAATTGCCCCTTACAGCCCTACTCACTACACCCCTGGTGCAGCCCTTCAAACTGCCCTCAGCACCCCTACTCTGCACCCCACACATGCACAGTCCTTTCAGTGTCTCTCTGTGTGGGCCTCCATACTAATACTACCTGCCTTGGGGCCTCTGGGGTATCACACCCCTGCTGGGCTCAGCTGCCTCTCTGTAGGCATGCCTGGCCCCACCCTGCTCTCACAATTACCCACCAAATGGTGGGGGTCAGGGTTAAGGTGCCCCTACCCACCTTTCATTGGGAGGGAAGGAGGGGTAGCTGGTCTGGTATTTCTTGGCAGCTGTCCTGCCACAGACAGTCCTGCCAGACCCCCCTTACTCGGTAGGGTGCAGTTTCATGTCATGCCCAGGACCAGGAGCCTCCTGCCATCCCCATAGCTCCTGCCCTTACCTCCAAGTTGTTCCAGGAGCAGTGGTTCAGCCGACTGATGTTACTCCCTTGGCTGCTAGCAGCAGACTGCTGCTCCAGCCTGTGTGTGCTGGGTCCTAAAATGGCTGCCTTAATCAAGCA